ATCCACATTAACCGGGCTCCACTGTACTTTAATGCATGACATGCTTGAGGTTCTTATGAAACGACACCCAGGACACGTCCTCCCCGTTTATCTTGACTTCTGAGCAGGATATACATGATACTTGACTGCCTCTGCCCTTCGATTGAAGGTCCACGCAGAGGGGCAAGTGGTGAAGAACAACTTATTGAATTTTCGGCAAAAGTAGCTTATGTAGGCCCGCACATATACCCCTAGTCCCAGCATTTTGTCCTGCAAAAACGGTGTTTATAGAGTTTTGGGGGGTGTGGGAATACGATAGGCAGATAAGGAAATTTATAGAAGTAAGTGTAAAGTGAAAAAATGTAGTCGAAATTGCTTCCCACGGCCGCTGGGAGTAAGTTGTTCCACATGTAAATTAAAGGTGGGCACGGCACTTCGCGTCGCGTACTATAGTAATATAACTCCAGAACGATATGTTGGACCTCAGGTAAGTTGAAGTAGACGACTTCCTAACCACCATTCCAATTTTTCAGGAAATTAAAGAAACACGCAATTTTATAATCGGGTTTTTCCGCAATAAGTTAAACGATAATATAGAGTAGGAAAATCTGCAGATATAAATCTACAACACCTCTAAATACAGTAAAATAGAAATGCATTTAGCATTTATTAAAGTATATTCCACTTCCCGCTCATAGAATCCTATAACCACCGTTTTCGTAGAAAAACATGCAGGGAGTAGAGATTAATAAGTGGGCCTACATAAGCTACTCTTGCCGATTTTCCTTTAGAAATTACCCACGAACTCGGAGTTAATCAGTCTATTTTAAGTCTTATAGTTGCAAATCGATATTGATATGAATACTTGGCGCGAAGTTTATCGGCCATTACAGACAACTCGCGTAACATTAAGTAAAGAGACAACAAGTAGTAATTTCAGAAGAAGAGGATGCGATCACTGGAACAAGAGTTTTATTTGCCTGACGTTTCACCCCTCGGGAATCCTTAATCATAGGTAATCGAAGAACAGTCTGAAACATGCGCAAAAAGATGCGATCACTGGAACAAGGACTTTATTTTCCTGACGTTTCGGATTCCGTGGGAGATCCTTAATCATAGGTGATAGTAACACATTCATGGTCATGCGAAGATAGGGTTGAGACATGCACAGGTTGCACGTTATTTATAGTTCATAGTGGTCATCCGCGTGTGTGTGATAATTATTCACTTCTTTAGCCACACTTGTGTCTTAATTGATGTGGTACTGGCTTGACACTTCGCGTTCGACTCACTAATTGCTACAGTTTGCTTGATCGGATGCGGGCCTGCTAATTGCGAGACAATTATGCCCACTATCGTCAGAGTTGTCGCTGCGCCCGGCCCTTCCCACGTGACTGATTCTTTTGTTCAGGAAACTTGTCGGTACGCCGTATGGAAACGCCAAGTTGTTGCTCTTTTTGATGGACTGGGGGCCTGAGAACCATGACTCGAGCAGCTCGCGGCTC